GAGGACTAATTCACCCTTGCGAGGGTCGCGCTATCTCGCCCTTGCGAGGGCTACTTTAAATCTCACCCTTGCGAGGGTTATTCTCTGAGAGGAATTCAGCAATCAACCAGTAAGCCGAAACAACAGACCGGTCGCTCAACGCGACAGAGTTTATCTGAGTTTTAAAAAAAAACCTTTCCATTTGTTTGTAGCACTGGAAGAAGTATAGCCAAAGGTGTTCGTTCTAGCTCAGGTGTGAGCTGGGAGGACGAAACTTATAGTGTTTTTTTGTTGTTGTTGAAAATTGATGGATTCAGTAGTGCATGATTGGCCTTTGTGTATATAGGCAGTAGCTGCTATGGCTATGGCTATATTCGTGAGAGGAAATAGGAAGATGACTTTTGGAAATGCTTTAGTAGTATGTGTTTTAATGCAGAAAGCATATGTGGTTTACATATGTTAGATTTTTAAAGCCATTTTATTGTCAAGAATGATTTGTTCTTTCAACTGACAGGAATTTAAATTCAGTTGAATTCCTTTTGGGAGAGAGACAGGAATGAAAGATATACATGATTGTATTGAAGTTCCAGATTTACAGACAAAGATGAGAGAAGATTTGGAAGATATCCCAATAGAGGGAGGTATTAATTTGTTTATTGATGGATCTTCTCAAAGTGGAGAATGCTTATCTGTTGAGTATTCTGCTTAAGTGTGCGAAGTGTTTGCTTTAGTGCAAGCTTTGAAACTTTTAGAAAATGAAGTGGGTAAGCAGTGGCTGAAGTTATAGAATAATTGGCTATAATATATATTGAAGATAGTAAGAAGAGAAGTTTTCCAAAGAGATTTGGGGAAATAGATTAGCAGATGAGGCTTATCTATTTATGTATAGATGCATGTATAGAGAAGCGCCGATAATGGTTTTAGTTCCTGTTTTGGAATGGGATGTAAAACCAGGTTTCATTGATGAAGAAGAGAAACAGATGATGTTGTAAGATGTGGAGTATGTAGATTGGAAGTGGTTAATAGAGAATGGATTGCAGATAGTTAATAAGCCTATTATGAGAGACATAATAGAGAAGGTACATGAGGGTACTCATTGGGGAGCACAAGTATTTGTGGCTTTTGGGAAGAGAAAATATATTTGTAGAAGTATGTACACGATAGTTATGCAAGTGAGTAGAAAATGTATACATTGTGTGTGAATGTGTATAATCCTGACAGGATTTAGCTATTTGGACATTTTAAAGAATATAAGTTGATTATACTGTAATGTCAGCAGTGAGTACTTTGAAATATCTGTTGGTGATTGTTGATCATTAGACTGGATGGTTGGAAACTTTTCTGTGTGTGAGACGAATGCACAAATGACTGTGACGTTAATATTGGAACAGATATATATAAATATATATAAATATGCATTGATAGTGCATTGATAGTGATAGTGATAGGTACACATTTTACTTTTCGTGTGGTAAAAGGGTATAAGGAAAGAATTGGAAAAAGATTGGCAATAGACCTGATGGGCCTTTTTCCTCAGGTAGGGTGAAGAATAAGAACTATAAAACAATACATTACAGAAGTGATGTTTACTTTACAGGAAGGGCCTGTTGATTAGGATAGCATTTCGGAGATTCATCATCTTCCTAAAGGCATACTTGATATAGCATTGTTTTTGGTAAAAAAATTCCTTCATTCAAGTTTTCAAAAGATTGCTTATGCTAGTTTGCATTCTATTTAGCTGCTTTTATTGTTTCACCTTTTAATATTTTAAATGATTTAATATTAATTCATAATTTATCTATGCTAGCAGTGTAAATGTAGAACAGTGGGGTATAAATATTCAATACCACGAAACTTATTTCTAAACAGTGAACGTTAAAAAACACTATTGATGATGTGCTACTGTAAATTATCACACACTCTGATTGGCTTCTATAATATGATTTACACTTCTACATAAAAATAGTAGTTTTTAAAATTTGTTTTGGGACTTTATGTCTTCATTTTTT